GTATGGGTAAGTTGTACTTTAATTAACTTAATTGAAGTCAGTTCTCTCTGATGGATCGGTTAGAGCGGTGCAGCTATGGAACACATCGTCGTCACTGGACTCATATTATAGATACAATCCAGATAGAGAGGTTCAATTTTATTCAGATGAAAGATACTCCCTTCTATTATTGCATAGACCCTCCCTACACCTTTGGATTATTTTATCCCTTTTAAAATGACTATTTATGCAAAGTTGATGTGGGGAGAGTTTGACCTAGAAAGCCTCCTTCTTTATTCGCGCCAAATTCCGGATTTTAGTTTTTGGGATAGCATGTGCTTCCGGAATATCGATCGGAGAGTTCAACACAGGTTTCGTTGTGGGGAAAATAATTCTGTACAGTCTGTTACGTTCTCCTGTTTGACTGTTCCTTGCTCCTTTGTATGCCTGTATTAGTTAGGCATTCTTTAATATAAAGAATATGGTCAATCTTATTCTTATGGTTGGCAAACGCTGTTTTCACTGGAGAAATTTTGGGCATAGCTATTTATTCCAGCTAGGTTACACCTTGGAGCAAATCCCTGTCATGTCCATTCTTCTCTATGACGGCCAATCTCTGTTTTCTAAGTTTGAAACTGAAAATGTATAGTGTGGAATAATGTTACCAAGGAATAGTATTTAACGGTTGGTTAACCCAGGTTTACACTGCACTCTGTTAGGATGTGTGAGCTCTGTTGCAGTAAAAATGCTCACTTAACTGGGCTCTGCGTCAGGATCAAAGTGAATGAGATCTACTACAGTACTACCATCAATCACCCCATCCATCAGAACTTAATACCAGTCACCAGGTACCCCAGTTTATTATATTTAAGTGATCTGAACAACTATGTGAGAAATAACATGATGGGTTACATTCTGTAGAAGACAGCGGAAGACCCCACATCATCATAAGATGTGTCAACCCGAAGGTTTTGCCACTAAAGGCCACTTCCAGCCAACGTCTAACGCTGTATACTAAACTCAGTATTACTAAACTTTATATTTATACAGATTAAAGGGAGTTGATCCCTATTCTGCCATTTAAGACACTGACTCATTATTGGCAGGCAGAGAACTAGAACTGTGTTTGATAGTGTGCCAGTTGGAATTTTGCTGTAGAAATAGACTTGGACTGAGGACAGGAACTGGTCAACCATTCTCTACAATTGATGATGAGTACATAAGCCCTGAAAGTACAGCAAGCCGGTTAGTTCATGCCACAAGCTTACTTTTACCTTATTACATCACCAGTGCAGTGATAGACAGCAGTCAGTGAATAGTTCTCACATGGACACCAGAGGGAAAAGAGAAAACAGGGGCGCCCAAAAACAAAATGGAGACGAACGATGGAAAGTGACCTAAATGCGGCATCTTTGACATGGAAAACTTCACTGAAGATTGCACAGGACAAGAAAGCATGGGAAGTCCTCTCTGAAGCCTCATGTGCCAATAGGCATAACGAGAACTGATGATGATGTAGTTATTTTTCACTGAGACATTATTTGTGACATATTATTCTTATGGTCTTTCTTCCGTGTCAGTCCATTGAAATTTCTTATAGTACTTGGAACTAATTACATGATGCGTTGTTATTCTGAACTTAACTTTGTTGGTATCTGGTATTTTACAGTTCACGTTAGTTAGATCTCTGTGTGTATTGTTGTACTATCATATTTCTGGAAGAGAATGAAAAAAAAAAGAAAAAGGAGCAGGAGGAGAAGAAGAAGCAGAAGAAGGAGCACAAGAAGAAGCAGAAGAAGAAGAAGCAGAAGAAGAAGAAGAAGAAGAAGAAGAAGAAGAAGAAGAAGAAGAAGAAGAAGAAGAAGAAGAAGAAGAAGAAAAAGAAGAAGAAGAAGAAGAAGAAGAAGAAAAAAACAATCCTATGACTGTCCATAATTCCCCCCCATACATCAGAATTGGCATTATACAGCTAATGAAAAGTGAAGCACCACCAACAACACGGTTGTCAGCAACCAAAGACTGCCACATCCAGTTTCCTGGTTGGCATCACCGCTGAGATGAACTCTTGAGCAGCAGGGTTGTCTCGGGAAGTGCTGGGAAGAAGTAATGGGGGTGAGGGTTGGGGAGGGGGGTTGGGGGGAGGGGTAGAGACAAACCTGAGAGGGTGGCTTTAATGGCAGTCTGGCTATAAATAGACAGACAGGTAGACAAGTACACTCAGTGTTGTAGTCATAATAGGGCTGTCTGGCGGACAGAAATATACAGACACGGATGACACATAAACACGAGTACAAACTGATTGGAAAACAGAAATTTAAATTAGACAGACTGAATTGGTTACATGAACATAACATACTTAGTTGACATGTTCGAAAGGGTCGAGTTTAAGATTTGTGACCCATAAAAGTACGTTCGTTCATTCAATGTATTAAGTATGCAGATGGGCAGATGGACAGACAGACAGATTTGCAAACATATAGACAGGCGGGCATGCAGACATACAGACTGACAGACGGAAGGACATACAGTCAAAAAGTCGGGTATGCAGGTGGATATACTGGTCAGTAAAATACACACACATATATTGAGTAACATCTGTAGGGAACAAGGGGTGTGTGTGGGGGAAACTAAAGACAGAAGAAACACACACAGAGAATGAGACATTCCCAGAGAGAGAGAGAGAGAGAGAGAGAGAGAGAGAGAAAGAGAGAAAGAAAGAGAGAGAGAGAGACAGAGAGAGAGAGAGAGAAAGAGAGAAAGAGAGAGAGAGAGAGAGAGAGAAAGAGAGAAAGAGAGAGAGAGAGATAGAGAGAGAGAGAGAGAGAGAGAGAGAGAGAGAGAGAAGAGAGAGAGAGAGAGAGAGAGAACACAGAAACAATCTTTCTAACAGAAGGAAAACACTTTACAGATTATAAACTCTCTGACAGAATGAAAACAATTTTCTCCCCCAAAAGAAAATTATGACAGACAAAGAATGCACTAAGAGTAATATTAGTAGAAGTATCGGTATTAATTGTAGAAGAAGTCGTAGTAGTAGTAGTAGTGGTGGTAGTAGTAGTGGTAGTAGTATTAGTAGTAGTAGTGGTGGTAGTAGTGTGGTGTGGTGGTGGTGGTAGTAGTAGTAGTGGTGGTAGTGGTGGTAGTGGTGGTGGTGGTGGTGGTAGCAGCAGCAGAAGCAGCAGCAACAGCAGCAGCAGTAGTAATGTTAATAAAACATTGTCTGGCATATGCTCCCTTCTCTCCTCACCACCACCTAAGAGGGTGGTAATAGAAAGAACTCGGAAAACGTTTAGGTCTGCGCCGGTTTACCTGCGCTCACCGCTCGACCTGATTACTTTACAAGAGGTTCATTATTACCAGCAGTTAATTCTACTTCCCTTCTTGCTGCCTCCTTGGTCTCCCCCTCCCCTTTTTCCCCCCTCAGGTGTCGATGTTTCTGCCCTGAATACCCTGGAACCTGCCGGATGCGAAGCGATTCCTAAATAAATATACACGGCTTTGAGAACATCCTCAGGTTGCCGGGTAGTGATATTAATTAACGGCTAGAGATGTACTGATTTGCACTCATACAGGGCGTTGAAAAGAAAGGGGACGTTAGATGATTTTGGGATTACTTAAACTGGTAATAGGAAATAAAATGGGAAAGAAAATCAGACGGTGCGACTATGTTGTCACGTAAGGGTCCTATCGGTTAAATTCACCCCCATCTTAGGGAATCCGAGAGTTCCCGGGTGCAGTCCAATATTATAGTGGTTTTACGTTGTGAAATTAGCACCCACTAACTGAAACCCTAACTCTCCTATAATAACTGGACTTTCCGCGCGAACTCTTCTATTCCTCGAGATGGGGTGAACTAAAACGAAAGTACCCAAGAGAGTTCTAGCTGGTTCATACAAATGTGGGTGTAGCATCGTATAATCATCCGGGTACTTTATTTTTAATTCACCCCAGCCAAAGGAAACCCGGAAGTTCCCGGGAAAGTGCAATACTCTAGGGGTGTTATAGGTTACTGTTCGTCTGAGTTTCTGAGGCTGTCGGCGCTGAAAAGGGGCAGTTTCAGTTTCGTGCCAGGGTACGCTGGCGCTCTTTTCTACTGTCCCACCAAATTGATTTTAAATCATAACACCCCTAGAATATTGCACTTTTCCAAGAACTCTCGAGTTTCTTTGGGCTGGGGTGAGTTTAAATTACTCGCCAGTACGCCCAAAATAAACCTTAAGACGAACGTTGCTCAGAGAGGCCAAAGCTGCCTGACTGGATTCCACCCCTGATGTTGAACTGATTCTACAGGATAGAATAGAATGGAAGAACTGACTGCGAGTCTTGTGGGGCATACAACGGCACACCACGATAATGAGTGAGTGAACGAATGAATGAGTCAGTGAGTGAATGAATGAATGAATGAATGAATGAATGAATGAATTAATTAATTAATGAAAGAAGCAAGGAATTAGTAAATGAACCTGCCAGTGTTATCCAACCTTTTTCAGGCCGCACCCCCTTGAATATATGGTAAAAACTCCCACGCCCAACATAACAAAACTTGATTTTTAAAAAAGAGGAGGACATAAAAAAAAAAAAAAACCAAGTACTGTTAACAAGAACTTGGAGAAAAACTAGCACATAATTCAGAGTCAAATATCAAAAATAAACAATCACTAACAACTGATAATGTATAGTCCAGATATTTTGATTGCTGACACTGTTTTGCTTTGACTTTATCTGCTAGTTTTGCTCTGATGTTGGACAAAGACTATCAGAGATCACTTTCCACATTTGAAGCTGTTGTCCCTGTGTGCAGAGTGGTTTGGGTCAGTTGATGAGACAAATTTCAAGAGTATACAACGGGTTTTCTGCCCAGGCAATTCAGGTATGCAAGGATACGAGCAGTCTGAGAGATTGACTGATGCCGTTACCCTGGGGCGGTGAGCTACCCTATGAGAAAGTGGATGTAGTAAAGGCTCTACTTGATCAAAAGAACAGATCCATACAATAAAAGGCTCTTGGGAAACCACAGGTAGTCAAGACACATTTGCATGACATGATCATTGTTACCGAGATGATTGGATCCATTGTTGGTGTCTACGATGGAAAAACCTTCAACCAGGTGGAGATCAGGCCTGAGATGGTTGGACACTACCTGGGTGAGTTCTCAATCCCATACAAGCCAGTCAAGCACGGTCGCCCCGGTATTGGTGCCACCCACTCTTTCAGGTTTATTCCACTCAAGTAAATGCTTGAATAAAGTGACTGTATAAGTTGAAAAAAAAAAAATACAATGAAAGGCTAATTTAATGGGTGTGCGGTGGGGGAAGGGAGGTAGAGGTTCTGGAAAATATCCAACATGGAAGGGGAAACATTCAGACTTGTAATCATGTTACAACTGGCACTGTTAGCATGTCGGTTCTTCGTTAATTGCTAGAGGAGAGACGAAGCACGTGTGGGAATGTCCTTCGTGCAGTGATGTCATTCATTCATTCATTCATTTCTCCGAATCAGAATAGATCAACTGCCCGTAACAAGCATGTCGTAGGGGGCGACCAACTAGACGTCCTTCCTACGAAGACGGAGTGCATTTGACAGGGCGAGGAACCAGCAGTCTGCATGCTTTTAAATAATTCAGATATGGAAAAGGAATGTGCACCCAAAATTCGTGCACTGGAACATGACTAAAGCGCACAAGTGGACGAACAGCCAGAGCTTTCCGCCAACGTTTACAGTCCGTGAAAGTGCAGAAAACGAAGAAGAAAACTCACCTGGTAACACCAGCTAAAAGCCGAAAGTTGGTGGTGTTGGTTTTGCAACGTCATGTAAAAATATAAAAGATCAACAAATTTCCAATGGCTGGTTTGTCCTAGTATACTGCTAACTCCTTCATAATTACTTTGATCTTCTCTTGGCTGTTGACAGTTTTTGTTAAACTATTCCTTCATCTTCTTAAGTGTGTGTTTATATAGAAAACAGTTTGAAATTGGTGTGCTAGTCAAAGTCCTAGAATAATCTACACTCGATGAATGCTGAAAGTTCGTCTCCAAAGGGCAGTGTCACACTTCCTGAATAAAAGTAGAGGCTTGTATTATGATTAGTCTTCTTCTGTCCACACTGTTACCGGCTATAGCCCATTTGTATTCTGTATTTACCCTGTTCGCTTCGGATGAATCGCAGATTGGAATTAGTCATGTTTTTGCAGGATTTAGCTACATCGTCTAGCAATCCCATTTCGTGGTGTTTATCTCGCCTTCCGCCCAGAGGTCCTGCTGTCGGAATCATACAGAGTTTGGCCTGGCTGCATTCTCACTAGATAACATGTTTTTTTTTTAAATCTCTGTCTTACAGTGTAATTCAGGCACGATCTTGTTCTAACCTTTTCTCCAAGTTTTTTTTTTTTTTTAGTTTATTCTTCTTTGTATAGTATAGAATAACTACACAACTCTAGTAATTTTACATTATATCATTGTCAACTTTTTGAGAACATGCATCTTTCCTGAAACATACGAATGCCAGTAATGGACTGTTTCACAGACATTAAGAATGAAAATAATAACGTCTGAGCTGAAATACAATATAACTATTCTTAGAATGCCAAGGACGGAGACACGTTTTGAATATCAAAGAAAACTGACTCGTCAACAGCATCTTGTCTCGGCAACTGAAATATTTCGGCCATGTCAAATGTCGATGGATTGAGAAAAGCAGTTGCAGAGAGCATCGTGCTGGCTATGCGGGGCCGAGCAGACTAGCATGAAAATGGGAACAGAACATAAGCGACGCCGTGGACGGTAAAGGTAATAAAGTGGGAAAGCTGTCGAGAGACCGAGTTTCTTTCACGTGTGCTGTGATAGAAGCGAAGCGAAGTTCTGTGAATGACCTGTCTTTGATTATTATGAGTAATACTGCTTGAATCAAAATGAAATGACTCGCCAAACTTAGATTTCAAACGAAGAAGTGCGTATTTCACCCTCTCTACTCAACGCCTTTGCACAAAAACATGATGCTAATCGGCAAGCCAGAAGCGGAACTGTCGGGATTTGAGCGGGGAGAGTGAGTTAGCAGCTCCTAGTCGCAGCGCTCCACTGATGTGGGAATTCCCATTAATCTGTTCTGAAGTGACAGCTCATTCCTTGCCAGCGAGGATAACTTGTGTCTAGCCCTGGCAAGGCCGTCTGTAACCCCCAAGTTACACAAGATTTCGAGGATAGATCTAGTTATTTGTTGGTGTATCATTTTTATCACATAGCTGTTTTTTTTTTTTAAATCTCTTCTGTTCAGGCCGTTGTTGTTTTCAACCTGTTCTGTTCAAGGCCACTGTTTTGTTAAAATATACTGTTCAAGGCCGAAGTTGTTTTAACCTGTTTTTGTCTCTCGACGATGTTGTTTTAACCTGTTCTGTTTCCGGCCACTGTTTTTATCAACGTTTTCTATTTAAGGACGATGTTATTTTAACCTGTTCCGCCCCAGGTCGATGTTGTTTTAACCTGTTCTGTTTCCGGCCACTGTTTTTATCCACGTTTTCTATTCAAAGACGATCTTGTTTTAACCTGTTCTGTTCTTTCAAGGTCCGATGTTGTTTTAACCTGTTCTGTTCTGTCAAGGTCCGACGTTGTTTTAACCTGTTATGTGGCCGGATGATGATGTTTTAATTTATTCTGTTTCAGGACGATGTTGTTTTAACCTCTACTGGTAAAGTCCTATGTTGTTTTAACCTATTCTGTTTCAGGACGATGATGTTTTAACTTGTTCTGCCCTGTTAAAGTCTGATGTTGTTTTAAACTGTTTCGTTCCAAGCCGATGTTGTTTCTACTCTTTCTAACCAATGCTGCAAATATTTCAGCCCTTTTTTCCTCAAGACCAATTTATACTAAATTCCTTTACCCAAGGCCCGTACTGAGTATACGTTGTCTTGCTGGGGTACCTCGCGGAACTTTAAGTGTCTGAACTCGCAAGTTCTGGTATATATGCCTTATCGGGCATATAGTCCTCGATCCATATTTTTAAAGACTAATTGACACTTGTGGTGAGGTGTTCCACACAACGCCAACCACCTTTATTTCCGACGCTATTTGCTGATACACAAGCTAGACTTGCTGAACATGTGAGACAAGTTCAATAATAAGAAGCTCGTATGATGTGGATTTAACCCACATATTTTCGGACCAGCAGGCTCACATCTGACGGCTACGCCACCACGGCTACCGCATATTCACTTCTGAATCTTTCAATCAAGTCGTTGGACAGACCTGACCGATCATTGTGATCTCTAGAGAATCCTTTAATTTTTATTCTCAGTCGGATTCAATTAACTACACGAAGCTCATTTACGCCCTGGAGCCTCAGGAGACGCCATGGAGCATCGAGAGAGTGCAGGTTAATTTTTTTCATAAGTGCAAATAACTGCCAATGATTGAGGCCTGAATTGTGCATCGTCATTAGCAACACAATACTTATTTTTATGGTATTAATATTTGTATAATAAAAATAATTATTATTATTATTATTGCTACCACAGCTGCTGCTACAACAAAAATAATAACAAAATCAACATAAACAACAAATACTACTACTATTACTACTGCTGCTATTGCTACCATAGCTGCTGCTGCTGCTGCTGACGCTTCTATTGCTACGAGGGTTATGTTTGCTTTTAATATCCAAGTTTATCAATAAACCCCAGACAACTAAAACGAACACTCCTTTATAGATTTGATTATGAACGGTTACATTTTGAAGGGAGAGTTTTCTATGGGACCAGAACCACCCTTCATAAAACCAAAATATAATTTACTATCTTGCACTTAGATATTTTCAGTTTCGAAAGATGCGATGTGACGAATAACCCCTTCATCCACTTTTGTTCGAAAATCAATTCAAAATTACATTTAAGATATTGTTTCGCCAAAGCGAATAGCATTTTACATTATTATATTTCGCACAGATAGAATCAATCATTTTAACACGAGTCAAATATTTCGACAACTTTCTGAAGCTATCTCCAGAACAAATTACATTTGTCGTTGACTACTCCAATATCAAATACTTTCAGCCTTGTCTGAATTGTTACTTCTCAAATTTCTTCACCGTTTGTTATCTGAAGTACCATGACTGACTTTATTTCATCTGGGTTTATTATTTTATTGCAAAAGCCCCTTCCTTGTCCGCAGATAAAATATTATGGTGGTCATTGTATTTTATGGGTTCTGTTTGTCTTGTCTCATCTAGCAAAAGACCTAGATATTATTTCTTTAAAGGGGAAAAAAAGGGGTTGGGGGGAAATGCACATTTTATTTAGACACCTTGCGATCATCACTTATGCAACGAAGTTCGAGCTTTGTGCGATGCTATCGCAAGTTTGCCAAAGGACCCACAAGGTGTCATCCCAATCGGACAGGTGAATTCTCTTTTTTTTTTGGGGCTCCTGATCGCCAAAGGGACGTAATGTCCAACATAGCCGTTTCGAATATTTTTAAGTTAGAACCTTGTTTGCTACACATTTTTTTTTTCTTTCTGGCTAGTTAGTATTCACTTCCTAAATTCACATATCCCCCACAGCTTCAACAGGCTTATGGATTTTTCTTGGAGAACTTCAGTTTACTTATATTGTGTATTTATGTTTGTAAAGATGACATTGTCTATTCATGTCATGTTCTGCTGAAAGCTTTCTAGCTGCAACGTTCACTTGAATTTTCATACTACAGTCGTTACCCTTGTGGGATGCAGTTTTTTTTGCTGTTTTAAAGCATCACCCTGGCTTGTGCCGGGGCCCTAAAAATAGCCCGGCCATAAATACAAAATAACGGCTGAACGGGTTTTCCGGGACCTCTCCACGGCTGATCATCATCCGCTTGGTGGCACCTTAGTGTCACCGGGTGTTTATCGCTCTGTGTGATGTCCTGGTGGACTAAAAAGTCAGTCAACGTTAACTTAATCATAAAAAGATCCGACTACTATCTGTCGTCTCGATACTGGACGCCATTTTTTTGTGTTATTTTAAAGCCCCACCCAGCTGTAGTCAGGAGCCCTATTATAACATAACGGCTGAAAGGGTTTTCTGGGACCTCTTCCTCATACACATGGTGGCACTTTGTGTCACCGGGTGTTTATCGCTTGGTGGATACCCTGGTGGGGTTTAAACCTATTCTTTCATTCAAGTTAACTTGTGTATGATTGTGAATAACATGACGCTGGCTTGTTATACTCTTTGTTTGGTTTAAAATATTGTCACGACTTTGGGCAAAT